GTTTAGAAGAATTCAAACACATTGTAGCACACCAGAGTTGAAAAGAATGGAAGAAAAATACTTACAAACGGTGTTCAAGAAGAATGGTTATCCAAAAAATTTCATCAAAAAGTGTTTAAAATCGAATGAAAGCACCAACAAAGAACCATCACCAAAGACCAAAAAGCAATTCATCCTACCATATATCAGAAACATCTCTGAAATAACGGCTAGAATAATGAAACCGTTTGATATAGATGTAGCACACAAACCAGCTGAATCGCTTAATTCTATCTTATGCAAACCAAAAGATCCGATAGAAAAGGGAGATAAAATTAACACCATTTACAAAATAAATTGTGTGAACTGTAACAAACATTACATCGGCCAAAGTGGGCGTCCCCTTCGAATAAGAATCCAGGAACACAAATCAGCCGTGAAAAGACATGATATAAATTCTTTAGTATCAATACATTCAGACGATCATGGACATCAATTTGATTGGGATAATGTCAAAATCTTAAACAGAGGAAACACCAAATGTGCCAGAGAATTCCTAGAAGCCTGGTACTCAAATGAAAACGCAATTAATAAACACGTTAATATAGATGAAATATACCAACTAATAAGAAGTAAATCAGGTGATCAGAAAGTTTAAAATCCCAATCAATAGAAAACGGTCAATAAATATCTAAAGATGGTTACCGAGAGACTCATGAAGAAATTTAAATCATTTCACTTTATCCTAAATACTGCGCTGAAGATGTCGTCCAGAAAGACGATGAAAGCTCCGCAATTAAACCAAGGAGCTCAGAGAACACTATCAATTGCAAATCATCCACCTGAGTTGCAAATCTTTTCTATTATTTCAAGACTATACATCCATTCATTGTGTATAGCAGTACCGATTGCTATCCACGTAGCCGTGTAAGGGCTTATGGGGAATTGTCATCTGAATTGATAACAACTAGTGGTGTCCGATAGAGGTGTCCACTTCACCCATTTCTGTTTAACTTCACCATAGATATGCTAATGGAAGTATCCTTAACTGAACTTAACGACTTAGGAATCGACTTGTTACCAAGGAATAATCTTATGGACTTAGAATATGCAGATGACATAGTCCTGTTAGGGGAGGATCCTGAAAAAATGTAGAGTCTTCTGAACACCATGAGCTGCAATCTTCGTATGTTCGGCATGCGATTCAGCCCTGCAAAATGTAAGATGCTGCTACAGGACTGGACTACGTCAACTCCTAGCTTAGTGATAGGGAGTGAAGTGATAGAACATGTTGACTACTTCACCTATTTGGGAAGTTGTATCAGCACCAACGGACTGATTGGCGACGAAATCTCAGTACGGATCCAAAAAGCTCGAGCTGCTTTCGCTGACTTACACCATCTCTGGCGTAGGCGTGACATCCGGCTATCAACCATGAGACGTGTGTACTGCTCACCAGTTCTCTCCGTCCTTCTCTATGGCTCTGAAACATGGCCAATACGCGTTGAAGACATGAAAAGGTTGAGTGTTTTCGATCATAGATGTCTGCGATCTCTTTCTCACGTCAGGTGGTTTAATAAGGTAAGTAATGTTGACGTTAGGCGTAGAGTGTTGGGCAAAGAGGGAAAATCAATCGACGAGGCTATAAAGTTACATAGATTGAGATGGCTAGGTCACGTTCTGCGCATGCCTAACCATCGCCTCCCCCGACAGGCATAATTAGCTGATATAGGTGCAGATTGGAAAAGAGCCAGTGGTGGCCAAACAAAAACATGGCATCAATCCATGAAATCCTTGACAGTTAAACTGATTTAGATAGGGAGATGGAGACTTCCGGGTTGGGCCCCTCGGGATTCTAGGAATCCATGGCTGGAGACAATATGTGACATGGTTCAAAATCGTTGTCAATGGCGCAGATGTATTCAGTCTCTGTGATCTTTCATATTTCTTTCTACCACTACCCATTCTGTTTCATTCTTATACTTGTCAGACTGTATTGATTCTCTTCACTCATCTTCTTGTCTACCTTTGTGTGCTATTTGGAACGTGGCAACTCGAACTGCTGCACTTCGGTGCCAAGTTCTATGTTGAATCCAGACAGACAGACATCCACCAGTATCAACCTAACTGCTATTTTGTATAAATTTGTTTATTCCTCTGAATATAGAAATGACTATTACTTTAAATTGGTAGATAAAAGTAATAACAGACACAGCCTTTCCGTATGTTACGTTAATATAATTCAGTCTCTTTATTTTTCTGCCTTGGTTTTATACGTTGTTGTAATGGACGACTTGTAAAAAGTACTTTATGTTAACAGTTTTTATTATTATGCAATTTTTCCGACAACAGATTTTCCCTCTAATTCTATATAATTATTCTGAAAATTATTATCTTACTTATTTGGTTAATTTTTTCGAAATTACTGTTGACCAACCTACTACAGTTCAATTAGTATCCCTATGATAATTATCGAAAACTTAAACTATGAAAAGATTAAATAAAAAGGAATTTGTTTGTCTTTGAGTAATCGATCCATCGTTTCAAATGCTTTTGTGGCGATTTTCAATCTTTTGAAATATGTGATTCCTGAAGATTTCCTGTTCATTAGTCTGATTTCAACTTAGTGATAACAGTAGAGATTCGATCATTGAAATTCGATCAGGAATAAAGCTAAGCGACATGACATTAGTTTTTTCTTTGATAATCAGTCATATAGAACATCTATCTCTCCAACAGTAACATTAAATGAGAGATTATGTGATACCAGTTTGAATCTTGGTAGGCATCAGTTACTTCGTCGTAACAGACACGTGTTGCTGTCGGCTTCATATGGATTTCCTTCAAACATAAAAATCTATTCGGTTATCTGTTTGTTAGTTAATTAAGTATCGTAGATGCAAACTGGATGTACGTATGTACACATAACTGTTTTTCTGTATTTAATTAGCTAGCCAACAGCAAAACAGATTACATTTAATGCTTTTATAATGAAAATCACATTATCAGGTTTGAAAAAATATCCGGTGTTTTGTTAAACTATTCAAATAATTAAGATTATTTGTGAACTGGAATTTAGACACGATCAAATCCCGATATATTTGAATAACCTAGAAATATGCCCATTTGTACTCGTCATATATATATATATATATATATATATATATATATATATATTTAAGAGAAATTGAAGTGGTAATAAATCGCTTTTGGTTTGCGTAGAAGTTTCTAGTAAACCTGATTTTATAACAACATTACACAATGATGAAATAATTGTGTAATTTCTAACAATTTATTATCACTCCTAACTATGAAAATTCTGGCGAAACACTGGATTCTCTTGTCTAATTACTTTACATAACTTAGTATTGAAGTCATTTATTTTAACATGGACTCACTCAGAAAACAGAAGCCATGTTGTATGTTCAGGCCATCCATCTAGTCATGAAACTTAAGTCAAACACAGTCCTTTGTTGGTTGAAACGCTGGATGAGTACCTTTTGCAGGGAAAAACTGTATAATGTCATTTTACTAAAACACCAGTCTATGTTTGTAAAAGATTGCCTTATTGTGTTTTAAGTGCTGAACGTTTCTTCAGATTTTCATTTGATTGTTGTTTTGTCACTCATTAATACTCGTCTATTGCCGTTTCATTCTGCTTCGTTTACCCTCCTATTTGTTCTTTGTTTTGAAACATGTAAGCTTCAATTGATGAATCGAATGTGTTGATCTGTCGGTTAGTCAGTAGTTATTTCTCATAACATCTACATCGCACACTTGTTTAGTAGATACTGACATACGTGTATGACTTGACACTTACATAGAAAATCACATACTTTCGAATTTATCTAATATATTTCATTTTCATGTGTTTTTGTCTGTTTTCAGGCTCGGAATTGAATTGACTGGGTAAACTGCTTGATATCAATTACTATTATTGCGACTACCTAAAAATTATTAGTGTTGTTACCTGAAAGAGTGATTCTTGATGATTAGTGCATTAGAAGTGCTAGTGCTATAAGTCATTTAGAGGCACACCGCTTAAAGAGGTCGGTTCTACTTTAGTCCTGATATTGTTGCATATTTATCTAGCCTATCTAAACGCTACGGTAATCAAATTACTGATATTTCACTAAGCAAGTAGTTACAATCCAAACAGAGACAGTTGTGCAAAGCACGGAACTCTGTGTGTCAACAAAGAGAGTATTTTGTTGAATCCAGTTATGTGTGTGCTTGCCTGCTAATGCAATCTACCAATGACCAGACAGTAAGTTCCTTAATAGCCAAATATAGTAAAAGAAGTCAGAATGGTTTAAAACGAGAATGCCAGTGTATGACATGATATTTTACTCAACTCGACATTTAAATTTATTTTTATTAGTATAAATGCCCTTTAGTGTTACATGTCACTCACTTTCAAAATACATTTTGATCCAACTACTCAAGTAGATTATCACTATTTTGAAGACTAAGGGAATCTGTCGAAATTTTAAAGCATCTAGTTCTGTTTTAAAATATATATATGCTATATTATTACGGAGTTTGTTTCTTTTTGTATGTAAATGAAGCGTAATCAATAGAGTCGTATGAGTTACTGTGTTCTCTTCCTTTTTTATCAATACCATTCAATAACAGTAATAATAATACTGCTAATGACAATGCTTCATTTTTTTAATCAAAAAATTTAAAGGAGTTACGTGAACGTGTTCTACGTGGCACGTACAGAGTGCCTTACTATATGACACATGAATGTGAAATGTTACTGAAGAAAATGTTGGTGCTTAATCCAGCTAAGCGTATCACATTGCAGGTAATGATTGTTGTCAGTGTTCATTGTATTTCTTTTATGACATTATTTTAGAATATATATATATATATATATATTCTACTTATTTTCATAAATTAGCATAAATATATGATTATAAATAACCAAGTAAATGACCTAATGAACTATGATTCAAAATTACAGGCGGAAAATATTCATCGTGCCGAAAAGGTTCTATATGCACTGTGTAATGCATGAATTTTTTGAGAAGGGCACAGTTAAATTATAGTTCTGTTAGTAAATATTTAATGATTGAATATTTCTCCATCTCATTTTTTTTTATACTCCGTCATGTTTTTTTTCATGTATTAGCATACAGGATTATAGTTACTTTTATGTCGAGTTAAACAGTAGCAAGATGAAACCAATGAATAATAACCAACTAAAGGACTCTTTGACACAACCTATCCATACATTAATTGACGAAAGTACACTTACCTTGTATATAATTCCTTGCCGAAAATTCTTTTGATACTAAGTAAATTGCTATTAACTAAGAATTGTGTGAATAGGTGCTTCAGTAATTATTGTAAATAGCCAAATATTCATGCCTGTTTTCTAGTTGAGAAACTTAGAGAATTCAAATCGGAAAGTTAAAAACTTATCTTCATTTCTGCATTTAAGGGTCTTATCGGTCATCATCTCTACAGTTTGACCAATGTGTAAATTTCTTTTTCTTATTCATTTACTTTCCCAGTGTAACAAGCTAGAGTCTTGAAGTTTCTGCAGCAGTGGTGATTATTTTTACAGGATCGGGTTGCTAGCCTCATGTCCAGCCCAACCTTCCCTCTTTATCAGTCTCGTTCACTGGATGTACCTGCATTCCCATAGAGAGATGGTGTTCCCACTGAACCATACACTCATCACCTTAGATGCTGAACAATTACCCATATGTGCCACCTCTTGTGCTTCGAGTCAAACAATAATCAATCAATTGGAATAATAACTTATACCAGTTGCACAAGAATTGGCTGTCGTGGTATAAAGGATAGTGCTTTGACGTTTAGAATTATAGATGCAAGACTGGAGTCCCAGTGTTAACACAATCACTCACTGCGTATACAAGTACTCCCAAGTGGAATGAAATGCCCATCCTGGATACCATTGCTAATCACCAACAACGAAATAAGTGCACGTTTATCTTTAGACATCCTCAAAGCTTCTATACTATAAGTCGATATGTCAACAAAGACCTAGAATTTCAGCCCAACATAACTAATCAACGGGAAATACTAGATTAACCTGGAATCAAATAACTTGTATGATAGTTAGAATGTAGGAGCAGCAACCACCTTGGAACTTTTAGATGAGCGCTTTCATTGGAAGTTCTGTTTTTTCGTAATGTAATGAAATTAGTTGAGAAATCACTGGTGAATCGTTTAGGAGAATAATTTTTGTTATTACTCCTATTGTTTTCTTCGTATAGCATATAACACATATTTTTTCAGGTATTTCAATAAAATAGTCTGATATAAAGTGTTAATAAAACAAACTAATATGTGCTGTAAGTATAAGGTCACTGTAACTACTTGTGCACAGTCGGTTAGCATGAAATGAAACCGTTTTGAATACTTAGTTCACAATTTAGTTGACTTTGTCAGGTTTAGCTGTTTAATAGTAAAAGCAGGAGAGAATATCTCTTCTTAATCATAGTAATACTAACGTTGAAAATATATTTCTATTCGAACTCCTTTGTCTATCTTTTTTCTATTAGAAGTAGACCGATTATCCTCGTCGTTTCTCTTGTTCTAACTTCTTTATTCTTGCTTCTTTTATTTTATTTTTTGAGATTGTTGAATTATTTAATCTCATTTGAGTAGCTTATTTTTTGTTAATAAACTCTTCGTTTACTTCCTGAATCGACAGAAAATAAGTAAAAAGTTCTCACAAGTCTTAGTACCAAGATGCGAGATCATATTTTGATTCGCGTTTCTAAAATATCTGAGGAAAACTACCTGATTAGATCTAACCGATGTTTCAGCAGTCATTCAAAATGGTCAGAATTAGTATACAGATCTTTCACACATCATTGCTCTTAATACCATGAAAGTATGAAGTTATATTCCAAGTTGAATAAAGTATTTTTGATTACTTGAAAAACAGGTTGCTTTATCCCTAAAACCATAAAAATGAAAACCCGAATTATTGTTAACATAACGGGAGGTTTTCATCGCCTGTCAAATATTGAAATTCATATCTACAATAACACAAATTCACATAAGTGGGAAATTTAGGATTGATAGATTCTAATTCATAGGTTGAATGATGAGGTGCTCATTATCGTGTGTATATATTGACTGCTTGACTAGGTTGAAATGGATTTCTATTACTCCATTGGATACTGGTGGTTCTTTATTTGATGTTAATTCCTAACGAAATCTATTTTTTCAATGAAACATTCTTTGACAATAATTTGTAATTACCTCGTTGCGATACGTGCATAATTCATCAATGGTTTCGTAAAAGTGGTCATTTGATGTTTTGAGGAATAAGTCATATCTAAGTCTAGTTGTATGGTTTGGACCATTACTCTGTGGGTATTATACTACACATCCTCCAGTGTACTTAACTGGTTGGCTGATATTTAAATGATACGTTATTGTGTACTATGGGGTTGAAGTAAAAGAGCGGAATGAAATAACACTACTACCTGATGCTTTAATTATTGTGCTGATGTCATCACAGCTGAGTTAATGACTTTAGTATTTCAATCAATAACTTTCATTCTACATTTTAGATTTACCTAAGGATTCAGTGTTGCAACACTTTTGTATTACTAACTGCTATGCTTGCTTTCAGGAGGTGATGAATGATCCTTGGATAAATCAAGGCTATGAACACAGTGTATTGAAACCTCATACTGAAGAACCTGCCGATTATTGTGATCCAGAACGTATTGGTGAGTGTCAGTATGTTTTTAACCGAATGAACTTATTTGATCCCCATTACGTTGTTGTCAAACGAGCAGTATATGTTTCGTTCATCAATGATCCTTTATATACATATTGGTACTTCAAGCCTTCACACTACTACTAGCTGGACATTATTGGTCATTGACAAATTACTTTAACAGTTTATGACTGAAATGCCGTTATTTAGGCTTCTTATTGCTATGATTTTCAATAAAATTGTTAAAATCAGTAACACATCGTATATTCACTGTTTTAAAAAATAACGAAAAATATGCCGCAACTTGTTATCCCCCTTTTCTCATATAAGCCTTGTCCTCGTTGAGAGGTAGATACAGATGTAGATTGTAGGGAGATGAAAAAGAAAGAAGTGCTACGATAATAAGTTAAAGATTAGATGAGTAATTTCTGCTGAAATGTATACAGTCTATTGTTGTTGTTTTTGTACATTTCTCAATGATCAATGCTGTCTTTATTTCAGGGATGTGATAAATCAGATAACATTACATGTTATAATTATTTTACATGATATAAATTTTCTTGTTGACGAAGTCATCAACTAGGCTGTACATTCGTGCATTACAGTTTTATCCGTCCCCCTGTTTATTATGGCATTATAATTCCTAATTGTAATTTGATTAATTTGACTTTTGACCGGAAATTATTCTAGAACTTTCCCGCCCATTTATTATAAATACACGAATGTACAGTCTAGTTGATGACTTCGTCCAAAAGAAAATTTTCTTCGCTGCAACTGTCTTTTTATAATGTATCCGTCAAATTATCTGGAGTATGCAGGATTTTGACATAAGAATAGAACTTGTGCACTGTGGTTAGAGTATCATTCCATTGTGGGTAAAATTTATTTTGATAAAGTCTCACAGTGTTATACAGTAATGTTTACTGATGACGTTTCGAGCACAATTCATTGCTCATAATCATTTCAAGGTACTCACACAACTAACTTCGTTTATACAATTCCATTATTTTTCATCGCTTGATTTCATTGGTAGTAGTATTTTCCATATTTCCGGTATGAATGATGAGTCATTCCCACTGCACGTGTTGGGTGTAAACTCTATGAACAAGGATTCAGCCATCAACCTCTCTCTGTCCACCTACCTAGATTACTTTTTAGAATTTTAACCTTCTCCTATCCTATTGTGTGGTTGTGTGTTGATGGATTCAGTGCAATCGCTGAGTTTTTTTCCTAAATTACTTATCTTCTCGGGGTCAACCTTAGCTAAATTTTTATTTTCCGACAATCTGACTACCCCCGATCTACTAGTTTGACCTATGTAGTTGACCTAACTCACAGTCATTCCAAGGTATTTCGTAAATTATATTATTTTGTCTAATTGGGTCAGTTGGGTCCTTTAACCTACAGAGCTTGTCCTTAACCCAGTTGAACAAAATAATATACTTCACAAAATACCTTGGAATGACTATGAGACTTTATCAAAATAAACTTTACCCACAGGATTTGTTTGTTTGTACAGTATTTGATAAGATAAAATATATCATTCCCTATGAATTAATCTAGTTTGTCTTTTCTGTTATACATCTTAGGATTATGGGATTTCTCGTTTTCAGTCGGATTTCACTAACTAGCACAATTAGTCGCTATTTTATTGTATTACTAAACCATTGGTATCTAACATGTCAGTAAAATTCTCTTAGTTGCATAAACTTTCTTTGCCGGAACACTAATTCTACATTATGGATTCTTCACCATTATCTGGATTCCATCTAGCGAGTATGTGTTATTCCGATAATAATAATACGATGCACATATTCATCGACAAACCCATAATAAAACTGGTCATACCAAAAGCATTTTTCTCATTCCTTGCATTCCAAATTGAACATAGGGCTTCGAGCAGTGGCGATGGTGTAATTTTCCCGAGGTGCTATTGATATCCACACTCTTAATTTTCCTTCTTACTCGGATGTAGTAACGGCTGGTAAGCTTGACGAGATTTTAGGTGTGTGTCGGATGGAAAAACAACCGGATCACCCACCTCACGTGTTTGGCGAGCATTCTACTGTGGTGGTGTGGTACTCACAGTATGTTCCAACGGAATGTTATTCTCACATATTCAATACGGCATTAGCAGCAGAATAATATGTATATGTCGTTTAATGTAAACCAAAAGCACACGCTCAGTGATGGGTTAACGAAAAATATATATATATATATATAAACAACGGCTTGACTAGTGAAAGATATACCTTGGCTTCCGTGTCTTGCCTTCTGTTGTTATACTACCACTGAACCATTGAAGTCCATATTTTATATAGGATGTTTGAGGTAATTTTCAAAGTTGATTTTAAACAGATAAAACCGGTCATTTCATATGTTGTTAACTTGATATTTATTCTCAACGATGGTTGGTTTAATCATTGTACAAAACTCTCAGTAAATAAGGTAATTAGGAGGTTTTGTTTTTAAAGAAATTTAAGTTAAAAAACTTTAGCGTAATAAATCAATAAACTTTAAAGTTTAAAAGTTAAGGAGCTTTATAGTAAGGGAAATGAACTCAATCCTTGCTTAGCAGTTGGTTCTAACAATTGAAGTTTGACCGCCTGAAAGCCTTTTTACAATGTTGTTATGGTCCAGGCATTTCAGGACTTTAATTATCGCTGTATTAAATTTTGACTTATTAACTCGTAGTGTGGTCACACATACACACACTTTCTAATATTAGTCAAGGTAAATTTTATTTTTGTTTACAGCTGAAATTAAATTACGTAGGACTTTCCTACTGGAAATTTTTCGATTGCATATATATATATATCAAAAGAAGTGATGTTGAACAAGATTTTTTCCCTAAAAATCCTATGCACAGCCTTATCAAAGAAATACTATTGAACAGCGAATTGTTATATAGCCAATAACCGTTAAATGTCATATCCCACATATGACATTAAACCTTTCTACGCTTTTTTTAATAACTTATATTGATTTCATTTTTTAACGAGACATATTCCTATATATGCCTATTGTTCAGTAGAAAGCGTAACATGGAAGATGTTTTTTTCTTAGTAGGAATAAGGTAAACATATCTATTTCTTTAATCAAAGTCAAAGTAAGTAAAGAGAAATTTAGTTGTAAGGTTGTTGCGAGATTTGCTGCACAAGAAACCCCTAGAGCATAACCTTGATGTGTGTAGTTGGATGAAGCAAAGTTAAGTTAATCGATAGGTGAATGTAGCAACGGTGCTGCACTTCTCTGCAAAGTACTGTGTTGAATTTAGTCGGTCGGATAAAGCGACCGATGCGTGAGTGTGTGTAACGTTTACTAGTGAAGTGATTGGCCGCTAGTTTCTTCCAGCTGTTCGGAAAAGGAACACCAACTCTCTGGTGTTAGGATCCACTCCTTGGATTTAATCGAATATTTCTACATCTCTTGTCAATTACTTTTGTTTTTCCCATATTCTTGTCTTTTCATAAATGTTATCCTACTTCTGTACCAATTTCTCTTCTTATTGTAAATGTTACAAAGAAAAGTGTTAATTTAGATTGTTGCACTTTTGTGCAATTTGTGCCTTACACTAGTCTCTGTCACAGTGTTTAATCGTGTTTTGGAAACAGTTTTTGTCTCTATGCACTTTAAAAACGAAAAGAAACTATCTTTGCTTCCCACTTATTTCTGTTTCATTCACGTGTTGGTTAATCTATCTGGTGTAGTAGTGTAAGGTTTTCTATTACAATTAAACTCTACTATGTCTACAAGATACATGTTCTTCGTTGTTTTAATTTTTCTTACGTTACATTTTATTTTTCTTTAAGTATCGGTCCACTTTTTCATCTTTTTATATTTTTGATTTTCTCACAGATATCATGATGCGTATGGGTTTCAAACGTGAGGATATCCACGATTCTTTAACGCAACAACGATTCAATAACATCACTGCTACATATTTATTATTAGCTCGTTATGACCCACGTGTACATGGTCGACTACGTGGTCTACCTAGCACATCTACTACCAGTTTGAAATCAGACAACCCATCAGCACGTTCACGTCAGACACCTGAAACACAATCGAATACACCTAACACATCAAGGACGCACTTTCGAAATTCACCAGTCACTCAGCATAATTCACCATCACATAACAGTTTAGGTATAACATCCACGAATACCACTAACTCTACAGCTGCTGCTACAGTCACCCAGCATTCATTGACGAAAGGAATTACTAACCGTATTACTGAGTCAACTTGTTTAAATATTCGGAATGCATCCACAGCCAGTCGATCTAGTAAAGATACAGTCACTACAACAACCACAGGAAATCTATTCGGAGACTCTTACATAACAACAAATGTTAATATGTCGAGCTCTAATAATGCGAACACTAGAAGTGGAACTCATGGTATTTCTAGCTCAGTACGCAGATCTGCTACTGTATCCGGTCCAGCGGATGCCAGCCAGGCAGTAACCTCTTTATCAGGTAAATATTCATTGCTATAAGTCAAACATACTTAAATTTATTTTCTCGCTTTGAGGGTTGTATTTCTAATGTGCGTTATATTTCTCTTTGTTTAGGGGTATTGTTAAAGTCATCTGTACTTCCTGCATTAACTACTCATTCCCCTTCAGTATCACGAAATGTGTCACCTCCCCCACCATCCCAAGCACCTCCATCTGATGTTTCCCATCAAATTCCTGCAAGTCAGCCTTCAGTTATTACTCTTCACCCGGCTTCTGTTACCGCTCATTTAACACTTGCTAATATGTCTAACGGGCCGTCTTGTTCACTTCCATCGAATTCTAATTCAGTACCACCACTTGTGACCTCTTTCTCTCGTCATAATTCTCGTCCACGAGCTGCTACTCGTTCTTTTTCAATTCAACCACAAGCCGTTGCTCCTTTAGCACTAGATGAAGAAGATGCTTCAAATCCTGCAAAGTCTCGAAGAAATCGTAATCAAAAATCTCCATCAGTTGAAAATAAAATAAACAGTTGCAATGGTTTAATAAAAGAATTATCAATTTCTTCTACTAGTTCCGAAGATGCGATCTCCGATGAGAAAGATTTATACGACAAAGATTCTGACTCTGAATCACCAGCCTCTGTAAAGATGTCTCGTTCTTCGCGTAAGTCTCAGAAAGATAGACATCTAAGTCGTACAAATAAGAATAAAACTCCCACAACAGTTGTATCAGGGACAGGGGGTGGAATGACAATGCCTACAAGCGTTACACTAGCTGCTGCTCCTAATACAAACTTCAATAATAAAAACTACTCATTTTCTCCAAAAGAAAAACAGTTACCCGGTAAGTTAGGGTGTTATAAAAATATGTCTAGTTGATAACTCATTAATGTTTAACTGTTTGTAGATTTGGTTTAATCATATATGCTGTATGCAGTGAATTGCAGCTCTTTTCAGAGGGTTTTTGATACCACATAGCTGTTCAAAGTTTTGTGGGTGATAAGGAGTTGACCGACTGACTGAACAAAGTTTTCCCACCAACAAACTGCAGCTCCACATATTTTACATACATCTCTGTTTTCCTCTTTCTTTCTCAATACATTCAAATATGATGTATTTTGCACTTTAAAATCACTTTTTTCATAAATATTCTTTTGATTAAGTTTAATTATTAGTTAATCCTCCACGTCTTTGTGGTCGCTCCACAGGAAGTTGAAATGAAACTCTTCATTCAAAAATAAATAAATAAATAACAATAAATATAGCCTAAACTAATCAGTCGTTCAGTTGGCCAACCAATGAATCAAATCCACTACTTATTTAACCATTCATGTTGATGAAAGTCATTATAACTCTACAATATACTGTTTCTTAGAAAGGTAGCAGTTAGCTCACTGTGTTTGATTTTGATATCTTCTCAAAACATATTTGAAAGAATAACATCAGGACTGTGAAGAATGAAGAGAGAATTAGATTATCATGCTGATTTACAAATCCGTAAGCACCAAACCAATAACAATCAGCTGTTTAATGTATGACATGTTCAGTTATAACGTAATTAACAATCCAGAGAGGTGGTCAAGTTTGAATAAAGCAAGAATAAGGCCGAAAGCTTGAATCTCATGAACGTTTCAAATAAGTTCATGGCTTCATTTGATTCAACCTCCTTGTTCACAATGATCCCAATCAATGAAACCATTGAGATCATTTGTCAACAGTCTGATCTTCTCCCACTACCAGAAGCGGAATTCAAACGCCTACTGCTAATGTGTATCAAGGGTGTACAATTCCAGTTTGACAACACTCTTCACCGACAAATAGATGGTGTAGCTATGAGCAGTCCACTTAGCCCTGTTTTAGCAGATATCTTTATGTCAAACCTTGAGAAAACAAAGTTGAGGCATGCAATCGATTAAACAACCTCCTATTGTCGATATGTCGACGACATATTTGTAGTATGCAACAGCGAAAGTCATGCCTCCTACCTACTCAGACTATTCAACAACACGCATACAAATATTGTATTTACTATGGAAAATAAAAATGATGGAGAGTTCCATTTCCTTGACGTCGACATGCAACGCCTAGAAGACGGTAGTCTCCAGAGGTCAATCTACCAAAAACCCACATGGAATGGACAATACTTACATTTTGATAGTTTTTGTCCAAATAGCTATAAACGAGAACTGGTCAAGACTCTGTACTATAGAGCGAGGAGAATATGCTCTTCAGAGAAACTAGAGGAAGAAATTACGAATCTCGAAAAGGTGCTGAAACACAACGGCTATCCTCAAAGATTCATCGACAAATATGGAAGATGTGAAGGCTCAAATATCAAACAAATCACAGATGAAAAAAAGCCTGTCTTAATTCAACTAGATTTTAAAGGTGAAGACATTGCAGAAGTGGTCAACAGAAGACTGAGCAAGTCACTAGCCAGAGCCTATCCTGCAGCTAAGCTGGTTCCCGTCCATCGAACAACATGCTCTTTGGTGCAGTCAAAGGTCGATAGGTACCCTTCTCATGTTAACTCCAACTGTATATACAAATTTACGTGTATCTGCGGGAGCAGTTACATTGGGAGAACAGAAAGAAGGGCACACCTCCGATTTTCTGAACATGTGCCGGAAAGCCTACGTCTCAAGGGAACAAACTCTTATAGTAACGCTATTACCAGACATCTCCTCCGCACGGGTCATGAGGTGGAAATCGAGAAATCCTTCAAAATTATCAACAGACAAAGGAGCTCCATTCTCCTTAAGTTTGCCGAAGCAATTTCTATCAAACGCTTGAAACCAGATTTATGTGTTCAGAAAGAAGCAGTTATTAGTCTTTCCTTGCCTTGGTAACTGGCTGACTTTTTTCTCGCATCCGATTGCGTAATCTTTGTCTTTAACCTCACCCTCCTTTTATAATCTGTAATTTTGCTTGTCTCTTGTTTCTATGATTTGAGGTCAACTCAGTACATTGTTACCTAACTTATCAGTCACTATGCATCTAACGCACATCTCATCTTTATTATGTAACTCCTTTACCATTATATGCATACAATTATTTTGTTTTAACTTGAACTGTCTGTGTAAAAACTATATAAGTGCAATTGTCTGATCACTGTTTACTAATCGTGGAACTTTCTGTCAACTGACAACATGTAAAATTTGCAAGTGTGTTAAAACGTTTCCGTACTTAAACCTCATATTTTATTTAGGCTGTAAGCACCTGATGAGAAGCCAACATAATAAATGGTGGTACCATATTATTCTGCACAAACCACTGTTGTTCTTGCTTCATTCAAATTCATCAAGGGGAATAAATGCATGAAGGTGGTCAAGTGTTGATTTACAGGGATTTGATTGGTTACATGACTGATCACGAGTTGATATTTGTTAAAGATTTATTGTAAAACTTTGGAGTACTGGGAAGTTGTCCCGTCCTAATTTGGGACTCTCCAGCATTATGCACCCCACCGAGGTTTGAATCCAGAACCTTCTGACTAACAGGCGAGGGCAAAGTTAAACTTTCGACACCACTAACAACCAATCAGTAAACGATCTTGAATGAACCAATCACATTAAAGAGGTATTTATGATAAATGGAAAAGTATATTTATGGAAAAAAGCATAAAAAGGTTAAAATGGTTACAGGGAGTATCTTTCTCGAACGTGTGAGAGAAACATCTCCCAGTTAAGCATCAGACTACCAATAGAAAAGTTTCACCACATTCTGTACATATATTCATCCAAATGACTATAAATGCGATCCTTTCGAGATCCATTTATAGCCCTTATCCCGTTTTCCAAGCGGCCCCAAAACCTTTCAATGATATTCGTATGAGTCCTCGTAACGGGATCCACGAAACCACTTGAATGGTTCACTCTGTGATGAATATACCCGAGAGGTGACAGCGAATTATAACCTTTGCACTCGTACGTGTGTATAATTGACTCTAGTTTAACAAGTCTCGTTATAATAGGTATTAAAGTGGTTGCTTTTCTGTCAGCTATCAGTTCCACGAATCCCTTTCGGAGGGAGGTGACGTATAAACCTAATACCCAAATGTTGTTTGCTCGCTGGCGACCACGGTTGTATTTCTTTTTCACCAGCACAGTTTCATTGACATGCACGACAACGTCTTCTCCGCCCAGCAAAGAAGTGATTTTCTCTACTTTCCACGAAGCAATATCTCTGCAATGCTGAGATTAGGCTATTCTCCGTCTCGGCAGCTGCTGCTCTCGCCGATAGTTGCAGATATACAAAATCTGGGTTAGGTAGAGATGCGACCTGGCGAAAAAATTCCCTACGAAATATGAAAATTATCAGCTTACCCTCTCCAATGCTAGCACGCTTCAAACATATAGCACAACGATGAACAAATCCATCAGTTGATCTGCTATAGCTTTTTAAATTCATGACACCAACACAAGAACAAGTTCGCTCCTTCCGGAGCAACCCTAAATCCAGGTAATACTGGAAAACAATGTCCTCCTCGAATTGCAGCCGTAACCTTGTAAGGGCACGCATTAGAAATGAATCAAGTGCTATACAACATTGAATTACTTTCGTGAATCTCATTGGATAATTCGACGTCGTTCGCTGATTGATAGTTAGAGGTGTTGAAAGTTTAACTTGGCCCAGGCGAGCTCGTAGACCATTCAGTCCCTGGGAACCGATGCACAATGGTCCATGAATTCCAACTTCTGTCAATTCGATATACATATAGCGCAACCATCAGTCAATATCACAGGCGAGTAAACTGATCTCTTACCTAACATGGTGGGTCCCGCTGGTTACGACTTCTAACTAGAACTGCGGGTAACTTCCTGTGTAGAGCCAGTCACTAGTGAGCATCAAATTAATCATCAAGTTTTCTAAATGTCTAAATGGGGATTTTTTCTATAATCACCAAGTGTTGATTTGCAGGGATTTGATTGGATACAGGTTTGATCACAAGCTGACATCAGATAGAGAACTATTGGAAAACCTGGCTAAGTCAAAGAATTACTTTGGCATCATGTAATTTTTCTAAGGTAGTATATAAGTCGTGAATTGAATTTTATTCGAAGCCCTTTGGTTTAAGTTAACCAGCCTCAATCTGATCATTATCTATAATAAATATCAATCTTATGCTGTCTGTATTTTATATTCAGATAAATGAAGTCATTTACTTTCTCTCTTTGCATTTTATTGTGATATTTAATATAAATTGGATAACTGTTTTAATAGTGGACTCTTCTTGTGATACTCATCTTTGACCTCTATATACCGATTAAACCGATGGCTTTCAAGTATCCTGACGAGCATATTATCACTTAGTCAGTGAATGAAAATTTACCAGGTCATATATTTCTCACTACCATCTTGCGTGATTAAAATCCATTTTTACTTAAAACTTTTGATTCTTTTTTCGTTGCAGCAAAAATTATTTTTGTTGAATTTCTTTACTCCACTCAGTTTTGAGGTAGCCAAATTAAAGAAGTGGGAACGTAGGTGCTTTAATGTAAGAGATCATTCGTCGGAGAGAGAAAAAGGCAATTGTAATGGACGCATAGCTCAGAAACGGTTTAAGGTTTCAACTGGTGTTTGATGTTCAAAATCAGCGTAGTCACAACTTAGATACATATCTTCTTAACTCTACAATATTTGTTCACGTTACCATATAAAAATGCTTTACGTCTGTCTGAAAAATCTCAGACTGACAGTCAAACATTACGAATGTACAATATCTGAGAACTACGGTCGCTGCTTCAGTACTGTTGTCAGGTAGACACTAAACAGTCTAATTTGTCAGAATGTTAATGTAGATTCAAAGAGGAGTAATCATTTCTTTCGGAAGTATTCTTCAATGTGATGTACTCCGTAATCCTGATCTTACTATCTGAAAGGAACCACATACCTATATAGTCACTTTAATCATTCATTTCACGAACAACAGAACCCATGTAATTCAATCAAACTTTCGAAACATGTTGAGACTGAAATTATATATATATATATATATATCTGTCTGTTTTCGACATAGAACTTTGCACAAATGTGCGGAAGTTCAAGTCGCCACATTCCGTGTAGCACGCGAAGCAAGAGAAGAAAGTACAAGAAAAGCATAATAGAAACAGTGAGCAGAGGTGTGAGACAAAGGAGTAATAAAGAAATACAAAACAATTTCATTGAAGATCATAAGTCACAGGGAGTGGATGCATCTGCGCCACTGAGAACGATTTTGAGCCATGTCACCAATTGTTTCCAACCATAGATTTTTGCCGTCCCGAGGACCCCAGCCTGGAAGTCTACACCTTCCTACGTGGCTAAGACCAACTGTTGTGGATTTCATTGACTGATGCCAAGTTTTTGTTTGACCTCCGCTAGCTTTTTTCCAGCCTGACCCTATATCCGCTAACATAGCTCGTCGAGGGAGGCGATGACTTGGCATACGTAACACATGTCCTAACCATCTCAGTCGATGTAGCTTCACGACTTCGTCGATTGATTTCCCCTGTTTACCTAGAACTCTACGCCTAACCTCCATGTTGTTCACCTTATTATGCCACTTTACACGGGAAATAGAACGCAGGCACCTATGATCAAAGGCAGCTAGTCTTTTCATGTCTTCCACTCTCAGTGGCCAGGTCTCACAACCATAAAGGAGGACGGAGCGGACTGATGAGCAGTACACCCGCCCTTTGGTCGATAGTCGAACATCTCGTCTACGCCAGAGTCGGCGTAAACTAACAAATGCGAAACGAGCCCCTTGTATTCGTGCTGAGATTTCGTCAGAGATCAGCCCGTTGGGGCTGATGGTACTTCCCAAATAAGTGAAGCGGTCAACGTGCTATACCACTTCACTTCCTATTTTTAAACTAGGCGTCGATGTAGTCCAGTCCTGTAACATCATCTTGCATTTGGCGGGAGCGAATCGCATGCCAAACATTCGTAGATTGCTGTTCAAGGTGTTTAGAAGACTCTGCATTTTGTCAGCGTCTTCGCCTAGAAGGACTATATCGTCTGCATATTCCAAGTCAACGAGATTATTCCCAGGTAGCAAGTCAATCCCTGAATCGCTGAAGTCACCTAGGGTTAAGTCCATTAACACATCTATGATGAAGTTGAATAGAAAAGGAGATAATGGGCATCCTTGACGGACACCACTGGTCGTCATCAGTTCAGATGACAGCTCGCCGTAAGCCCTCACCTGGCTGTATGAGTACGAATAGAGTGCCTTAATCAGTGCAATATATTTTCTTGGAATTCCCTTGACAGCCAAGCATCTCCAGAGAACTTCCCGATCGACAGAGTCGAATGCTGCCTTTAGGTCAAGAAATATAATGACTGTTGGAGTATATATATATATATATATATATATATATATATATATAACTTTTCTGAGTGTGACCCCAGCTTTTCAGTCATGACATCATAGCTTTAATAACTTCTGAAGGATAAAAGTTACCACGTTTTTACTTTTTTGGTGTGTTTTTTAATTGGTAAAAGCGTGCTTCTTACCTTTAATGATATTAAATATGAGATAAAAGCTTTTGTGTCAGAGAAGATTGATACTGATTACTTTCATTCTAGTTATGCCTACTTTCTTTCTCAAAACTCTTCACAATAATCTTTGTTTACTGATCGGTATAATAGTAAGTGACCTGTTGTATTACATTTCGTTTTTCGTTTGGATACTGTTATTTTTCCCATGAAGCATCCGTCGTATCTTGGCATTAAACGTATCATTATCATTCTTTACTTGTCTTCTTTTAGAGGATAATATATCTGAAGATACCTCTTCATCTATCAATCACAATCACCGTCGGGAAACATCTCAGTTCAATCGGTAAGCAAATGAAGTTTTACTAAAACTAGATTAAATGATACATGTTCTTTGAACTCCATTACCCGGGACGGATCTTTCGTGTACACCAGGCTCAGAGCTAAACATATAGCACAAGAGCTGATGATACTACCCAGTTACCTAGACTGAAGTAGGTGACCCTGTTAGCTGCGAATCAAACCCACATCCCCAAAACCTGAGAACACAAGTATATTGAAATGTAGTATGATAGATAGTTATGACATTATATCACAATGTGCCGAGCTTGGGACTCTCTTTCGTTACCTTCAGTGCAACAGTACATGACCTTGGCGGCCTGTTTGAACATTTTGGGCTACCATATTCCATATGCATTTTGCATCTATTTACTCATATTTTATTGGTGTTTACATATCAAATTATGCATTCTAATCGTATTATTCACTCCCGGGATTTTATAAAACGTTTCAAACCCAAAAACTTTCATATTTGTAATAAATTCAAGAAAAAGCATCATGGTGGTTGGCAACGTGCTTTAAAATCTACACCCATACATCACACCACTGTTCCGGTTATCATTATTACCAACTGCCGGTCTCTGCCTAACAAAATTCTATATTTTCAGTCCCTTTTGTCGTCCGGAATTTATCACAATACTGGTATTGTTACTCCACGAAACCTGGCTCCATGACTTATATGATGCCAATATAGTGTCTTTAAATGATTTTAATGTATTCCGACAAGACTGTGTTTGTTCCAAGAAAAAATGTGATGGAGGTGTTGCAACTTTTATTCACTCAAAATGGTCCATTTCTAACAAAGTTTGTTTCAAATTTTCGAATGACTACATTGGTTGCATCACTGTGAGATGTCGCCCTAAACACTTGTCAAAATACTAATGTTTATGTCTCTCCTTGTTGTATCATATCGGATTTATCTATGTTCGCAGATGAATTCACCGCTTTTGCTCCAGCTTACTTCGAGAACTCTTTATCAATAGTGACTGGTGATTTTAGGTCAAGCGATTGCTTCTTCCTTATATCACTTGGTCATGACAATATTGTTAACTTCGCTACCCGTCTCGCTAAAACACTGGATCTAGTATTCATCAGTGATGTCGGTATATATGAAGCTCGCAAACGTGCTCCTTTACTTAACTCTGACCACTGCATCATATGTGTACTGCCTAAAATATATTCCAAATCACACAAAGGTGTCTTCTCTCACCTCTACAGTAAATTTCAACGGAGATGCTACTCACAAGACAACTTACGCAAGTTCAGATGCATGTTGAAAGACACTAACTGGGACTTATTTACCTCTCGTGTGAACAGAAACCCAGTTTGTTAGCAAAATAATCAAGAACAAACGTATCAGTTAATAAAGATGTTTCTCAAACACCCCATCAATAATCGTCCCTGTAAAAAAATCTTAGAAAAATACATGAAAACCATAGCTGTTTTCTGTGACTCATTGAAATTGGAAGTTGTATGAGTGATAATTAAACCTTTGAGGACAATAAAACTAACACGAGTTTGTTTGTATACGGATAATTCAATGCTATCAATGTGTACTAAAAGTAGTATACCAGGGTTATGCTATTCTGTCAAAATATATTTAGTGAGACATCACTGGCTTAATCTAAATGAGTTGAAGTGATTATAGGTGAAGGAAATTAGATACTTTCGACTGAAAATCTGCATTATATATTTCATTAGAGGAACTTTATCTCCAATGAACGTGTTCCTTATTTTATTAAATAGGACTGTTAAGTTTAAATCTTGTAGACAAACTCTGGTCACGAGCCCTTAGTAGCACTAAATCCATGTTATACTTCAACTAGAATATCATTTCATGCAATCTACAGCACAGCATTAACTGTTGCAACAGAAACTCCGGATCATCTTCTGCTTACATTCGCTCCTACGAAATGTGATTAGCTTAAACAATATGCAAGTAAATACAGCTGTGTAAACTTCATTTTTTGTTACTTGTTTCCCGAGTAAAAAGTGGGCTTCTGTCTTTGAAGTTTCAATAGCAGTGGTGTCGTTTTTCGGGAATTTGATTGCTAGTCTCACTCCTAACCCCCCTTTTGTATCATTCCTTACTACCAATTGGTAAACTAAGTGAATTTTTAGTATATCGACCGGTAGTCAAGCTCGAACCTTCCACGTGGCTGACGAGGATTCCGTCATTGAACAATTGACTAATATCTGTTTATCTGTACAATATACACAAAATGAAACACTCGATGCTTAGATGTTAGGTTTGTGTTGGTTTGATTGGATAGCAACGTTAGCAATATTTATTATCTTTTGGTAATGTACATTTTTACCTTATCTTGCTTTATTAGAGCTACTCCTGTTCGACGCAAATCAATCAGTACGACAAGGTCTAATTGCTGTAAGTAATATTATACTTATCTAACATTTTTGTTTCATATACTTTGGTGCTACTTTTTATATATTTTTTGAAATCAAAACTACCTAATCCTACCACTGATTAAATGGTCAGTAGACTTAATATTGGACTTATATTTCAGTTATATGTTTTCTCATATCTCGATTATTACTTTTATTCTAGTCACAAACACCACACTAACGATCAACTCGAATTCAACATCTCTTAACGAATATCCATCGACAACAGTCAATAATACTAATAATAATGATAGGGAAACTACGCCGGGTTCAACTGTTTCCTATAAAAATGCCATTAATCCATCAATAGCCAATCGTGTTAATCTGTACAATGAGTTGAATAAAAATAATACATCGTCATCTTCATCAGAATTAGAATCAAAGAACAAGATGAAAGAACAAAGTCAGCCAAGTGTGTATCCTAAACCAAGAACAATGTTTAGATACCCTCCTAATGCCGCTGATATATTAAAGTATGGTGTAGTTTTCGTTGTTTCTTTCTTTTTTACAAACACGGTGTTTATTGATCACAGCGTTTATTCTTCATTGCCGTTTTGCAGGGTTTCTTCTCAGTCCTTTTGATAGATTATTTCAGTCAGAGTTAACATATAACACTCGAGAAAATTAAGTGTTGGCTAAAACTACTACACACCAAAGAGAATGCAATGTGATGAAATATCACCGTACATGGCTATAAAGTATGACATAAATATAAGAACCTGAATGCTAAAGAAATGGTGTATATCTATGTGCACCACAACAGTTGGTTTCGAGGCATATCCATATATATATATATATATATATATATATATATATATATCGCTTTTTGCCTTCAATACTATAATGACTGACCGTCAGAAAATTCACTTAGTTCGAATTCGCTAGTGATAATAATAATTATTGTTATGAAAAAATCGGAGTAAGCAGTGATTTGTGATACTTTATATCCATCTAAAAAGTAATACCATGCATCAGTTCTCATTACTTCACATCTTATGATAACTACTGATATCATTACTTCCATCGTTTTGCTTAATTCCCCTGATTGAGAAATGTGTAAACTTGGCAATTTCTGTTGTATTTTTTAAATTTCCTACCACTGGTGCACTTTTTTTCTGTTCAAAAAATTAATACCATCTGTATAGCGATTTCATCACATTAATAGGATGCTTCTAAGGCAGTTCTCGTTAATTACCTGTAAACTAGCTGTCAACTATCAGGCTTCATACTTTTTGACAGAAGAGAACATACTACTGCTAAGTGCAGTGCATTTGAATCTTATTAGGTCTTTTTATTGTTAGCTAACATTAGAGATAATTCAGTTAGATCAAAGGCGAACAACCTCTATTTTGTGAAACTTCTATCAGAAGGTATTGTCTTTGACTTTTATCACTTGTCTCATACTCATTTCTTCGTCTCACTAGTTATATGTATATACTTACGTTTGTTTTTTCCAGTGAGTCGAATCCTTTCCGAATGGTGAATGACATATCACTAATTGATTCTTTGAACTCACCGCCAGCTGTCCCACCTCATGGTGGTACCCGTTTACCTACACAACTGAATTCTACATCAGCTAATCGAACAATTCTATATAATAATAATAATGGTTCACCCACCTATAATACAAATCAAACAAATCAGATTTTAGCGACAATTACTAATACTAATACGACTAATAGTAATACTTCTACTATGAACTCTTTTGGTGCTACAATAAAACGTCCTACAGCGCCTGTTCCACAAAATTCACTAACGCCCATTTCATCTGCTCCAATTAACACAGTGACGCGTACATCTTACGCTTATCATTCATTAAGGTAAGTATTCAATATTTCCTCTCTCTCTCTCTCTCTCTCATATATATATATATATATATATATATATATATATATCCTTTGGATACCCAACTCGTCGTTTCCCATTAAGGTTCCACTCGTGGGCCTGGCACGCAATGTCACCTGTTGGTCTCGCGAGCGCGTGTCCGATCCATTTCCGTCGGCATATTCGGTGGGCAATAGGTCCTTGATTGGTTCGTTGTACTGCAGAGCTTTTAGTTGCTAATTCTTCCTAACCATCTAATCTTCAGCATGGAAAAAAGGCAGCTGTTGATAAAAATCTATAGTCTGTTAAAAATGCTTTTCGTGACGCGCAAAGTTCCTGTTTCATGCAGAAGAAGTGAATTGAAATTTATGTTGAAAATCCAAATTTTGTTACTTACTCTGACTACAGAAGATTTCCGAAATGATTTCAGAGTGATGAATGTCTTATCTTGCCTTTGCGATTCTGTTTTTGACATCGTTATCCGTACCGACTGTCTGTAATTGAAACTGTAGGATCTAGATAAGTGAAGGAAGTGACCTCTTTCAAATTTTTGGCACACTTATTTTCTGTGGCATTTTTCGTCTGTGGTGATTGAACTGTGCTGACCAGCATTTTTCAAATTTTCAAACACTTTCCACCAGCACTGATTAAATAACTATCCCAAATCAAATAGCACTAAACAAGCTGTTTCATCTTAGTCAGAGAGTCTTTAGCCTGTGTTGTACCTACAGCCTTATGAAGAGTCAAGGTAGCCACTGGTGGGTTTCCCAGTGAACCAAGTATGACTCAACCGATAGATTAAAATCTAGTGTTCGATTTTTAAATACTTTTAGGAATTTTAAATAATACACATTATATAGTATTTTTCTAACTAAATAAGTCGTCTATATGTATATCTGTCATACTTGGTGAACTGAATTGAATATCAGCATTCGATGTGTTCAAAATAGTGCAAATCAGTGTTTACTTGGTTTTTTATTGTTCTGAACTGACTCTTCGACTTCGTAAAAGAAACAACAAATATATTTTGCAGGTTTATGTACATTCTTTTGTTTTTTTTAGATTACCCTCTAATACAACATCTAATACCTGTACCAACGAAATTCTTTCCCATCAACTTGGCCGGACAAATAATCAACTAGTTCGTCCATCAGTAACTTCTCTTTGGTCTAATGGTATAACTGAGACTGGTACGGATCAATCACCTTCAAGTTCCCCTTATGCAGCTGACTTAACAGAAAATACTTCAAGTCTTCCGTTCAATCGTAATCTACCAGAGCGTTCAACAATCCAGCACGTACCAACTGGGAGAGCTAGAGAACGTTTAGAAGGGACATCAGGAGCTCCGCGACTCGTTCGTCACCCTGGAACACAAAGTATCGCCCATCCAACTACTGAATCTCATCTTCGTTCATCACCAGCTGGTAATTCAAATTTTTCTACACCAAGACCTAACAGTCCTGATCTATCAATATCTTCTGGAACGTCGTCTGTGTCTACATTAAGTCATCATGGTGATCGGACTGATTATGATGAGGAATCCCCAACACCAGAAAATGAAAGACATCCTGACATTGATAATAGAAGTCATACTATCGGATCTACTTTTCAGCCATTTACTCGAAATTTTTCTGTTCGTCCTTCAGGTCATCGACTTGAAAATGATGCAGTTCATAACCATTCTAATAATAATAATAATAATGGGGGTATCAACAATTTTTTTCGTACCTTAACAACTCGAATATCTAGCAGGTAAGTAGTACATTGTATTAAACTTTATGTTGAGAATTTCCCCCCTTACTAAAATTCCACTATCACATTTTAATCTCATAAATTTAATTTTTTTATAGGAGATAAATTAATTTGATAGCGGTTTTCGTCCTAACTCGATACTATAAAAAGAATTATAAATTTAAGATGTTTAAGTTTTCATATTTGTGTATAATTCTGGTGTTATGTTGGTCACTATATTGGGATCAGCAATTGTGAATGTACTTCACTCCTCGATCGCAATTGCTAGTTGTAATACCTTGCTGTCTTAACTCTGATGGTAGAAGAAGCTGAAATCGTTCCCCAGCAAACAAATATACCTGCAGTTGGATCTGAGTACAATCTGTTGACATTATATATTAGGTAGCCTATTACATAATCCAGTGTATAAATAGTTGTTAGACTTTTCTCATATGTTTATATCTTTCGTGTATACTAAATAGTATTTTTTTTTTCTAAACAAACATTCTATTGTATTTCTGAAATATATTTTATGTGTAAATAACAGTAGCACACCGCTTCTCATCAACTTATTATACAACTGGGAGAAATTCATGTTTTCGTCTGGTGATTGTTTTACAAATGTAAATTATTGAAAGCACACCACCTAATTTATGCATAACATACATATAGGACACTTCAATTTCATTTCTGTTTATTTTATTATGTTATTCATGATAGTGTTTTCTAGCATCACTTATGTGTTAAAGACTAAGTCATTCTTTTGTCGTTATTCCATTCTATATACATGAAAAGAAGGACATACCATATATCAGATATCATAGTCCACGAATCTACGGGTATAGACTCTGACAATTTTATGTGAAACGTTTGTCCAGATGAAAAATCTATCGAACATATGCAAATGAAATGCTTTCGTTGTTTAATTACCCAACTCATAGTAGACCATAATACAAAAATCAAAGTCTGGAAAACTGGTTAAGTAAAAGGCAAAATAATTGACTGAACCAGAACTTTGATTCATTCTTCTTCTTGGATAATAATGTCGCTGGTAATTTGCAAAATAAATCTCTTTCCTAAATCTGATTGGTGAAAAATCTACGTAAAATATTGTCGTGTTATTTATTCTTTATAATGTTGAGCTGGTAACGAAATACAAGCTTAGCCTACTATCAATTCGACTATATTTATTTCAAAAAATATCTGATAAATGCTGTTTTTTTATGTTTGTAGCAAACTGTTTCGAAGATCTGCAGTTCTTCAACCCGGTTTATTGTTTAATTCCCCTGATAACAAGATTGTCAATATGAATGATCCTAAGGATCCAGATATGAGGGTGGCACCTACAATGGAGCTTGACAAACTGGCAGTCACATGTGGTAGCCCTGCACCGGAAACGTGTCACAAGAACAGTTCTATAAGACTTCCACGTAGTCGCAGTGGAGTAACTCCACACCGCGCTACTCCGCAAGGATCTCGAAGACTAGCTGATTTTAGTACAGTTACTGTTGATGAACGCTCATGCAAAAAGAATAGTGATACAGAAACTCTCAGTCGTAGGAGAAGCAAAAACGAAGTTAACGCAGATAATACTGGGTCAATGTGTCGGAGACGTAGTCCGATTTCCCGGGATTCACGTTCACAGTCCACCCACCGTTCATCTTCACGACATGATGATGGTAGTAATTCTAGACATACACCTCCTCCCGTTCCCTTGCGAAATGCAACTGGAATGTCTAGTTCAAGTCAGAATAAATCTCCTTCATCCGGAAATGACAACTCAGTTTCTAACAACGTTGTAACTGACATCACTCTTGGACGAACGCGTAGTTTAAGGTTTATGTTTCGTAAAGAAACTGCCAGTCGACGTCAGATAGAGGAAATGATGTTAGACATGAAACAGATTCTAATCAACAATAACATTGACTTTGAACAAGTCGGTGACTTGAAATTACAGTGTGTTTATGGAGACCCTTCACGAGGATGTCAGATACCCAATTTAACAAATCATAATCAAAGTTCAAAAAGTACTAACAGATCATCACGTCTAACTGATCGTGTTGAAAACGGCGTTGTACATTGGGAAATGGAAATTTGCAAGCTTAATCGATCTGGGGCGAATGGAGTACGCTTCAAAAGAATCAGTGGATCAACATCTGATTTCAAGCGTATTGCTAATAAACTTGCCTCGGATATGGAAATCTGAATTATACACAAATCTGCATATACATTATAAATAGTTATACAGAAACTATTGCATTTCTCTTTATTTAGCTGAAATAGAGCTACTAATCAGCTCATACGCTGTGTATGCTTAATTCTTTTTTTTGTTTGTATGTATATTTCATACTTTGATTTTTATGCAACAGTGATCAGCTGTCAACATAGTTTATTTGGCGTGCAAAATCAGCCATAAGTCAACTCATACACACACCCTACATCTCTCTTGCCATCGCTCCTTATAGATCAGCAGCTGCTTATTATTACTATTATGAGTATTATTTATACTTCTTCCCCAATCACCTTCAAGAAACAAAATATGCTAAAGATTATGATACATGGTAATAAACTGTGTAGTGCATTGATGGAAAATGAAGCTGAATAATTATTTTCAATCTCGTTTTACTTGTACCACTGGTTCTGAAAATAATATCAAGACATTATTTGTTTTTTTTTATTGTTTATCATATCAACGGATAAAATGGGGGAATATGGTCAGATAAATGTGTATATTTGTGTTTTACAGGTGACTAATACATTTTTTTCAATCCTCTTTTATCAAATCTACTCACTGTTTTACATGCTGGCAACAGTAACAGTTATCAGCTCTAGTAACACAAAGAGGAGAATATTATTGATGTTACTGATACTTAACAAATGATATTTGTCCGTTTGTTTGTTGATTTTTTTGGAAATATTCTTAGTTAATTTGTTTAACTATCCTGTCTCTGAATACCATTTTATTATGCTTTTATTTTCCCCTTAAAGCAATGCCTTCATCAATGGTTATTTTGTTTGTTTGTTGGCCTCTTTGTATGTTGAAAATTATTTATCTACTAATCATAGAGAGATATGATGTGTGTGGGTGGTTTACTGAAAATAGAAGAAATCGAATTAAATTTCTTCCCAAATGACAAAGGCAGACACACATTCATTTGCATACATATAATTACACAAATAATGAACGCTATTCCAGATAATAAATTAGCTCATAATTTTAAACAAACTGATCTTGATTTTTTTTAACGAAAAAGAATAAAATGTATTCATTGATTAAATTATTAGGAGAAAATGCTCCATACTTCTTTTATGTGCTTTTGTTCATTATTATGACAATGCTTAGTGAAATGGATATTTAGAGCGAGGCAGTTATCTTTCATTTCGGCAATCGAGAGGAATATTTATGCACAATAACGGGAGGGAGAATTTTCAAATTGATCGTAGCGTTCATGGGAAGTAGGTTTATAGCTTATTGTAGCGGCATAGTCTGTTGCTATGCTAACGTAATGACATAAGTAATATGCTCTTTAGACAATTGACTTCAGATTGTTGAAAACATTTTATATAGTATTTTCAAGTGTTGGTTTGCAGGGATTTAATTTGATTGGTTACAGGATTTCATCATGAACTGACATCGGTTAGAGAACCATTGAAAAACCTACTGGACAATTGTTTCGTTCTAGGTTGGGACTCTTCATCAGTACGTACCCATGAAGTTTGGACCCAGGACCTTCCGGTTACAAGGCGAGCTCGTAGACCATTAAGCCACTGGGACCCGAGAGAAGTCGTGATCATTGGGGTAGAACAGGCCGGGTGTGAGGAATGGCACTCGCCGCTTACATTCGTTAGTGGTCGAGATATATCGTGAATTGGCAGAAGTTGGAATTCATGGACCATTGGGTCAGGTCTCGTTGGCTTAATAGTCTACGAGGACGCCTTGTAACCGGAAGGTCCTGGATGCGTACTGCTGAAGAGTCCCAAACTAGGATGAGGCATATAGTATTTGTTTGAGCGGCTTCAGTCTTCCTGGTAATCTGTTACAGCAAATGTTGCCTTATAGGTATATTTATGCAGTAGGTCTCAAAGATATCTACATAAAGTTGCTTTTCCATCATTTATGCTACTACATCAGAAACGCTTCGGTTTTACTTGTACTCCAGTAGTGCTGGTTCATATTAGGGTATATATGTATTGTGCATTAGTATACATTCTGCGGGTTGTTTGACTTCAAACTTATACAAACTGCTTAGTACTTTGGAATAGTTAGGTGATTGAACAGAATGTTACACAATAGGATTTAAAATAATTTTTTTTCCTTTTATTTAACTTTAAATGGGGCAAAATTAAAAAAAACCTAAGAGTTGTGTGCGCGAGAGTGCACTTAAATCCACAAATGTGCATATATAATTACTTAGCTGTTCGATGAAGATTCAATTCCTAAGTAATTAAAAGATACAAAAACAAAAGTTCTTCCCAATAAATTAGATAAAAATAAAGTCATAATTTCTCATTTCGACATGGTGGGGAGAATAGCTTCTGTACCATAATATATGCAGTTTTTTGTCCTTCACGTTCCCAGTGGAACATAGGGCTTCAAGCTAGTGGCTTGAAGTTTCTGTAGCAGTGTTTATTTTACAGGATGGGGTTGCTAGCCTCATGCCCAACCTTTCCTCTTTACCAGCAGTATTTCCGGCTTAGCGAAGTAGAGGAGTGCATCGGCCGGGGATCGAACCCCGGACCATGTGCATGGTCGGTGAACGCCCTAACCTCCGTGCCATCGACGCCATATATGCAGTGTAGTACATTGTAAATTAGACACTTTCATTTGTCTACAGGTATGTCACCACAGCTGGATGATTGATTTTTAAACATCACCTGAAGTACACGTATAATTTCGAATATGTACAATGAGTTGATTTCATTTTGCCACTTGTTTCATTTGTCATCTTGAAAGTTTAAGGTATTATTTAGTTCAGTCTTATCACTACTTAGTACACAAATTTGTAAATAATAACATATTGTTACAGTTTTGCGAATATTGAAAAACGCCTTGTATGAGTTAACATACTATACTTCAAATCTGAATGGATCAACTCGATCGTTCAAGATGAGAATTATATTTTTATAAGAGCTTTCTGGTTACCCCGAGGTGTTTACAGCCGGGAACCATACGACTAGGTATTCCAGTTAAAGAACTTCACTAAAATGTAAGAAGTTTATATACAATATATCAGTGCACCTGAAGAGTAGTAATTACTTACAGCCACAATGCTGGTGTTTGAAAACAATGGGGGACAAAGCCGCATATGACTTATGTGTTATTTGTTTCATTGTATAAAAACAAGCCAAAGCAAATTGTCACCGTTCTGAGTTCACTTTTGTTTGTCCCATTGTTGACACTGCTATGAAATCAGTGTAGTGTATCAGCGGACCAAGTCTTCAACGAGGAACAACAAAGACTGATATGATAATCACGGCTTTGTGTGCTATTTACGAATATTCCCATAGTGAGTCATAAGAAAAGGCACAAACAGCGAAGAAAATTTTCTTTTCGACAATTCATTTTCATGAGCTGTACAACCGTAATTATAATTAAACACATAAGTTTTTTTGACCAATCAGATACTGGTAAACTTTGTCCTTGAAAATTCTACTACATAATGTGAGGTGTAAGATGGGATGACTAATTGTAAGTTAGAAAAAAGAGACAGAAGTTGGCATGACCTAATAAGTGTGAGATAATGACTAATCAATAAGCTGGTGTAGAATGGACAGGAACTAGTGGAAAGACTATAAAGTATTTTTGTATAAGATCTGTGTGGAAAGCAATGTTATTAATAAACAGTAATAGAGTGGTAATAAAATGTGGATGGTGGGAATAGTAATAATAATAAAAGTATTAAGAGCAGTAATAATAATAAATAATAGTGAACTTACATATTAAAAGAGAGGAGAAAAATTATAGTAAGAAATTTACTCTGGCCATGGTAGGGCTAGAGAATGTATGTATCGTTTTTGTATGCATAGGTCCGGTTTTAGGTCACGAATAGCTAATGCTTCATCGTCGAAAAGAAAATTTTCTTTGCTGTTTGTGCCTTTTCTTATGACTCAATATGGGAATATTTCGTTCATTGAAAAACTCCAAGGACCCAGCGACAGTAAAGGAATTAGACAAATTCCTGCGTTTCTCTGTCAAGCTTGCTGAAGTCAACACGGAGCTTAATTTTCTTAAACGATGCATCGATAAGCATGAGTATCCAAAACATTACTGGAAGAATCTCCGCCGGAATCATATTTACCCTAATTCAAAGACACTAAAACGTCACACACTGAATCACATCGACGCCATCCGCTCACGCATACCCGAACTTGAGCGAAACATATCACAAAGAACCCATGCTTTATATGAACTATCTGATGATGAACGACAAACATTCCAGGATTACGTATCTAGTGTCATACAAAAGCGTTGTGACGATACTACTTCACGACTAACAAAAAGCTTGAAACCATCTGAAACTTTTTCGACGTTTCCACAGAATCCGGAGAAATATGTATTCAATTTCTCGAATTTTCCTCTGACTCCTGTTCAAATGCAAGTCCTATCACTTGGCCCAAAATTTTGCCATGTATCGAGTAAAACCAACGAATTACATACTAAAGTGCAGTTTGAGAATTTAATGTCACAGACATCCGATTTGTCACCGACTTCCGAAAAAGACCTAGATCAATTCAAAGCTTCAATTCTTGACAGCTGTTACAAGTACATTCGTACGCAACCGAGCCACCGTTACCTACTAACCAAAGAACACAGAAGACAACTTCAAGAAAATAAGGACATAATCCTTGTCCGTCCTGATAAGGGCAGTGGGATTGTAGTGATGAATAGATCCGATTATAATGAGAAATTGACAAATATACTATCAGACAAAACCAAATTCTTTGAATCACCCAACCAAAAAGACAACCGAAAGAACAGAAAACCTACTCACAAAATTGCTGAAAGAATGAAAGAAGATTCAGTCATAACACAGGAGGTTTATGAGCAAATAAAACCATGTAGTTCAACTATTCCAAGACTGTATGGACTGCCGAAAGTGCATAAAGAGAATGTTCCACTTCGACCGGTCATAGACATGGTTAACTCACCGTATCACCAAATCGCGAAGTGGCTAGCTGATATCCTCGAACCAGTTAAAAGACATATGACAAAATATAGCCTCAAAGATACATTTGACTTCATCGACTCAGTGAAGGATGTCAACGTGTATGAAAGACAAATGATCTCACTAGATGTCGCCTCTCTATTCACAAGTATCCCCCTGACTGAAACAATATGCTTCATTTGTAATTACATAGAAACCAACAACATAGAAGTTCCTTCCCCATAAACTACCTGAAGGAACTTCTCAGATGCACGTTCAATATCCAGTTCAAATTCAATGAACAGTTCTATGTACAGAAAGATGGAGTAGCCATGGGGTCTCCTCTCGGTCCACTCCTAGCTGACTGTTTCATGGCGAGTCTTGAAAACAACATCCTTGATAAGTAAACTGCACTTATACAAGAGATATGTAGATGATACGTTTATAATCTGTGATGAAAAATGTGATTTAGATTCTCTCCTGAAAACCTTCAACGCAGCGCATCCATCAATAAGATTCACCTTAGAACGCGAATCGAACAACGCATTTCCATTCCTCGATGTATTACTCACCAGAAGAGACGACTGTACGATCCAAAGATCGATATACCGTAAGCCAACATGGACTGGACAGTTTATCAACTTCCAGAGCTTTGTTCCACTGACCCGAAAGAGAAACTTGGTACGTACATTGTGCTCAAGGATTAGAAAAATCTGCTCGGAAGACACGGTGGAGAAAGAATTAAATTTATTGCGTGAAACCCTACTAGAGAATGGGTATCCGCCAAGATTCATCGACAAAAACATGAAGGAGAAGCCCCGGTGCCAAATATCACAACGGTTCCTAAGAAGACTCTCTTCATGAACCTAGAATTCAAAGGTGACATCGCAGCGGAAATTCTCAGAAACCGCCTTTCAAAAAGTCTGAAGAAGACATTCCCAACAGCCACTCTACGTATAACATTCTCCTGCAGACAGTTAATCCAGTCTAACGTTAAGGACAAGATACCGCCTTTGGCCACTTCAATGTGTATTTATCAATTCACTTGCTCGTGTGGAGCAAAGTATATCGGCCGTACGCAACGTCAAGTCCACAAACGTATCCTGGAACACTGCCCAGCTTGGTTAGCCAGAGGAGAAAAGAAGAATAGCAACAGCTCAATCCTCGAACACCTTGTTATCTCCGGACATCGAGCACCCCCACACGAATGCTTCACAGTGGTACACAGAGTCCCTCAATATCGTACAAAAGGACTCCGGATACGACATCTGTACATAGCTGAGGCATTAGCTATTCGTGACATAAAACCGGACCTATGCATACAAAAACGATACATACATTCTCTAGCCCTACCATGGCCAGAGTAAATTTCTTACTATAATTTTTCTCCTCTCTTTTAAT